TGACACTTTACCGTAGTCATTGTTTCCTCCAGATCTTTTTATTGTAGAAAACCCATGAGCTGATTGCAAACAAAGGCTGAATTACTTGTAAGAGCATGGACCAGGCTGGGCATGATGCTGGCCAGCCTCAGTTTCCTCATTGTGGAATGGTAAGAGTTTATCTGATCAAGATAGGGTTAGAGTTCTCATTTCTACTTCTTCTGCACAACACAGGGGACTTAGAAATATCTTTAGAAGACACTTGGTACCTGGTCAGAAATAAATTAATTCATTTTTTTTCTGAAATAGTCGTTTCCAGTGCTTCTCAGACAGTGTGCTAGGCATTGGGAGGAAAGCAGTAAGCAACACTGACAGGGTCTGTCCCCAGGACAGCTGGCGTAGGACATGTTAGGAAGGGAGACATTAAAAAATCACAAAAATAAAAAGAGCATTTTATTCTGGTGCATATTGCTGCCTAGTTTTTATTTCTTGCAACTTTCATCCTTCCACAAAGTTTGAATAGGTCTGATCCACCCCCTAACTTCAGCTTTCACAGAAAAAGAGCAGAGACCAAAATATATTTAGTTTATATAGATATATATTGATTTTCTCCTGGATATACCAAGATTCCTCCAAGATTATAAACGGAAAAAAAATAAGGAAGATCTAATTCTGTCAGTTGCCCTCTTTCCTTCCACCTTGAAAGAGTGTTTCAAACAAAGGATCCAATACACATAGGGAAAAGGAGAGAGAAAGAGGGGGAAATGCTTATATTTTCACTTGAGCCCCTAGATCCAGCAATGCCTGGAGTCAGTAAAAGTCTATGACCTAACTCCCAAACTAGTTGGAATTGGGAATTTAGCTTTTGCAACTAAAAGAGTCATGATTGATAGTATAAATGTAATGTGCTACGAGAAAAAGAGATTCTTGGGGTGAGAGAAGTTTCCTGGAAAAATAGCACCTAGGAGGAGGCCCAGGAGGGGAAATGAGGGAACCGTGAGGAGGCAGAGACGAGACAGGCCGTAGTGACCTGAGGGACCTTAATTTGTTGGAACAGACTTTCAGGTAGCATGAGCACAGGTGGGTATGTGGAGGAGGGAGAAATAAAGGAAGTCAGGGAGGAAACAGGAGCCACTGATATCTGTCACTGTCACCAGGAGAATTAGAAATACATCTAATTAATAGGATTGATGTGAAATCAGGGGGCACATTTAAGCAAATGGGCCAGAAGCCCCTCCTACACTGCCATCTGCACTTGCCGCCAAGTTATTTGGAGAAAAGGAGGCATCCATCACCCAAGGCCTGGCCCTCAGCTCTCCCAGGTGCCTCACTGGGAAAGACCCTGGTAACAGCCTCCAGTTTTCTACCAGTGTAAAGACCCCAGGCTCAGACGAGGCAGCGGGTGACCAGTGGAGAACCAGTGGCCCTCCCTGAGCAGAGCAGGAACTAAAAATGTCTGTGCAGTGTACAGAGCCCAGAGTACAAGCCCAGGCGGCCACCTGCCCCAACCTGTCCTCCTGTCAGCGTGAAAGTAGAAGGAACAGCTGCCATCCTCAACTCCTTTAATCAGGGGAGTGTAATTTCTTCCTGGAGTAAGAAGTCCACAGTGCATATCAGGCAACATTGGTTGAAGCCCCAACACAATGCCTGGTATCAGTGAGTGAGTAATAAAAGTTAACTAGTAGCACTGTAGGACAATTATGGGAACAACTGAGAAAGTTCACAAGAGAGCCAGGACTAAGCACAGAGGAATTTGTTAATTCATCTCATATTTATTATGTGCCTTCTGTATGCTAGGCCTTGTTGTAGGCACTGGTGAGATACTAGACACAATTATATAAGAGCTTCCATAAAGGGAAATAATAGATAAGCCAACAAGCATTCCTTTTCATATAGATTCTACCTCCCATTGGGAGGGAAGGAGGAAAAAGTAAGCACATACATAAACCAAGTAGAGATAAGTTTTATGGAGAAACATAGGCCAGAGTAAAATGATATGGGGAGACAGCAGGTCCCACTGGGGGACATGGTCTAGAAATGGTGGCTGGGATGGGAATTCAGAGTGAGGCACAGGAGTAAGCTCTATGGAGGTTAGTGTCATGAGAATTCACAGGGCCAAGGTAAAATGCCCAGATCCTGGAGCTGGGAAAGTGTGGAGGTATTGGAGGGACAACCAAGGACAAGAAGGGCTGAAGACAAGAAGGGCTGAAGACATGAGGGAAAAAGTCCAACAAGGCTGCGTTAGAAGCAGGTGAGGCTGAGCACAAAGGACTTGGGAAAGGGTAAAGTCTGGGCATTCTCCATAAGGGTAATGCAAGGCCCTGGGGAGTTCACCCAAAGGAGTGAAACTGTGGCTTACATTTTCTGCAGATTGCTGTGTTCTTGAGCTGGGGCCATAAGCCAGTGTACCGCAGACTGGAGGCTTAAACCACGGAGGTCGGCTTCCCTATGTCTGCAGGCTGCAGGTGTGGGATCAGGGCGCCAGCAGGGTTCCCTTCTCCTCAGCTGGTAGATGGCCGCCTCCTCCCATGTCCTCAGGAAGAATTTCACTGTGCATCTTCACCCCACGACCTCTTTCTATGGGGACACTAATTGCATATGACGAAGGCTCATGCCAGACCTCATTTTAATTTCTCATCTCATTAAACGACTTATCTGTAAACACAGTGACGTCCTGAGAGACACTGGGGAGAATTGCTCCAACAGGGGTTGGGGGGCATGATTCATCCTGACCCTGGCTCTGGCTACTGCAGGGTGAATGGCCAGGTGACGGAGGCAGGGGAGTAGTATCAATGTGGGAAGCCAGTGGGAGGCTCTTTCTGCTATGGCTCTTTCTGCTATGGAGAGGGAATAAAGGCTTGGGCAAGGGTGGGAGCAAAAGGGGTGGTGAAAGGTGGCCAGATCTGGGATATATTCTGAAGATTTAACTGACAAAACCTATAAATCAATTGACAATATAATGCAAGAACAATATGAGTATCTGAATGAGCCATGTTGGCATTTACCAAGATGAGGGAAATTAGAGGAAGGATTTTGAAACATAAGGATCAAGAACTTTCTTTCAGCCATGGTATATGTAACCTGGACCTAGAAGTGAATGGGGAAGGGTTGAACGTGGAGCCCAAGGAAGAAGTCACAGTTCAAGTCACTGTCACATATTCCATCTGTTGAGCTCTCAGCACGGATGGGGTCCCCAAGGGAGAAACTCCAAGTGGCAAGGAGAGCTGGCCACAAGTTCTGCAGACCGTACTGCTTCAAGGGAGGGTTGGGGTTGTCTTCTTGCCAAACAAAGGAGACGGAGAAGGAAGAGGAGAAGCTGGAGCCATGGGGTCCTGGAAGCCAAGTGAGGAATATTCTAAAGCCCGGCGGATCAATGTGCTATCTACTGCTGAGAAGCAGCTGGCAGGGTGACTTCAAAGAGAGCTGGAGAAATGACCTTTGGATGTGACAAGAGGGAAATTGTTAGTGACCTTTACAAGAGGAGCTTCAGACAACAGCGGTGTTGGAGATACAGAGACCTGAAGGGAAAAATCAAATTCAGCAAATAAGTTTGCAACCAGACAAAGCAGAGACATAGGGCAGCCGTGGAGAAAGTTCTGAGTGGCAATGCAAGTCTTGGGAGTATATAACTTTTTAATCTGGGGAAAGATTAGAACATGTTACTAAATCATTAAGGAAAAATCAATTCTAATGAAGGAATACTGGAGATAATTTCAGAGAAAAGCAACAAAGCAAAATGCCTTACACAGAAAAATCAAACGGGACCCAGGGTCCAAGTGATGGGCGAGCATCTGATGAGATCAGAGATAGCTCATCTCAGGAGGAACACATGGGGTAGGAGAGTGGGGAGGATTTCATGTGAGTTGAATTTTAATCTAGTGCCCGATTCTGAGTGAGCCAGAGTGTCTTCTCCTCTGCTTATGTAGGTGCAGGTAGAACCCTCTGGGTTCTTTAGCTCTGTGCATAGAACAAATAGCTAGAATTACAAACTTGTTGTGCAACCCAAAATTAGTACTTGGAACCTATTGACCTTTCTTTGCTCTACAAACATTTTCCATCAGTTCTTTTTTACTTTGCCAAGTGTGTTTTGTTTTAGCCACTAAACTTCCTAGTAGCCTTTGAGCTCATAGAACAAAAAAGAATAGAAGCTTATCAATGCCTGCCTCCCATTGAAGGCTGTGCTGTCAACCTTCCAATGAAGCCAGGGAAACTGACTGGCCAGGCCAAGGGCGGAAAATCCCCCACATGAAGAGAGAGACAAGGAGAAGGGCATGAGAAACAGGCTTTATTTAATGCCTGCCATTCCCTGAAACCCAGTTTTGGGGAAGTTTGCTTGGTGATTACCAAGTATGTGCTTCTGAAAAGAGTCCACGCTTTGGAGACAAAGGCCACTGTGTGAATGGCAGCTGTACCCCAAGCCCTGCATGTCAACGAATTCACTTTTCTGAGATTCCATCTCTCCATGAGCAAAATGCTACTGCAAGCATGCCTCAGAAGGAGGCTTTTGCAAGCTTAAAATGTCCCTAAGTAGACATCTGGGCTACAGCAGGTGCTCAATTAAGGGCTCCGTCCTCCGAAGGCACCTTTCTGTGTTTAAGTTAATTAAGTGTACTGACCCATTACTGAATAAGTTAATACACTGAACTCAAGCAGGACTTTCCTGAATTTCAGGTAGGTGTTTTCAAGACAATATGTGTGATACATTATTCATAAAATTCTCCCTGCTATCCCAGAGTTTATTACTGTCTAGGAGACAAGTTGTGGTCTGTGAATAGCTCTACCTATGCATTTATACCTGTGCTGATGCACTGCAGTTAGTGTCGACCTCCGCAGCCTTTACCTGGGTGTCAGACGGAGACTCTGAGTGATCCAGGGCTTTGGCTGCTGGAGACTGTATTATCCCTGCTATGTGTGAACCTGCATGCCTCCACTTTTGTAGGAAAGTTTCTATTAATAAACCCAGGGGCTGCGTATGAGATGAAGTTTCTCTCCCCTTACAACAATGACAATAGCCAAGAATCTTAAGGACACATACTTTTATTAAGTTTTTGAGCACTATTTTAGGTGGTTATATAAGACCAAGACCTTTCTTTTCATGGATATAGTGTGCTAATGAGAAAACTGGGTTGTATAAATGACTAAATATACTCAATCCAAATGCTGAAGTATGTACTGTAAGACACAACCAGAATAATGAGATGTGCTTCAGGAAGTTCTAGTGTAATTCCAGAAGAAGCCATGGGCTCTCCACTATGGCAGGAGCTGTCAACCTGTTGTCTGCGGGCACATCTGCCTTAGGTCTTGCTTTGTACATACATTTGTTAAGCACACTTGACCCCTCTATTGCCATATGAACTAAGGTTACTTATCAGCCACAAAAGCAGAGTTGAGTAAAGTGAGAGTGATCACGAGACCCACAAAGTCAGATCGTTTTACTCTGTGGTCATGGATAGGCTTCTGGCCTTTGGATTGCACTCCCTGGGCATGATACAGCCTGACCTCCATGACAATCCCATCATGGAGGCCAGTTATGGCTGAGACAGCAGGAAGCCCTGCCAAGAAAATGGGAGAAATGATATATTATCAAAAAATAAGAAGCTGGCAGTAGAGGAGCCTCTTAAGTGAACAAAGTTAGAAGTCAAGTGTCATCACAGAATGTAGATTTCTTTCTCTGGCATCTTCAGTGTGTCTTGTTTGTATTGGCCCAGGATGGCCATCCCAGCTCCCTATTCCACATGTCTAGATGAAAAAGAGCAAGCAATCACATCTTGTGCTCCTCTCTGAGAATGAGGCAACCCTTCCCAGACCCTCCCAGCACATTGTTCTTGGTGAGCCATTAGCTATCACTGGGTAACATGTCACATTCAACCCAGTCAGTCACCAGGATGATCAGGTCAACATGACAGAACAGGTATACTCCTGATTCACCCCCGAGACTGAGAACAGATCCACTTTATTAGAAACACCCCCATATGATGAAAATATAAAAAAAAATTAGTACTCATTAAGAATTAAAAGCAGAGACAATAAAGGATACAAAGAGTATCTAGGATATAAACTGAAACAATAAATTGTAGACATTTTCACAAAGCATCCTAAGTTACACAAACAATAAGAATAAGCTCTGTGCTATCTTGGTCACTGTTGTAGCACCAGAATTAGAATAGTACTAACCAACTTTTGCCAGGCATGGTGGTACAGGTCCATAATCCCAGCAACTCAAGAGGCTGAGGCTGGAGGATCACAGGTTCAAGTCCAGCCTTTGCAAATTAGCAAAACTCTGTCTCAATTTTAAAAAAAAGAAAAAATTATAGGGGATATAGGTAAATGGTAAAGCACCCCAAGTTTAGATTCCCAGCACCAAAAAAAAAAAGAGAATAGTACTAGTTATTATTCTAGGCCACCATCTTTATTTGCTTGCCAAGTATACCTTACCTTAGCTGGTAAACTTCCTGGTAGACTTTATACTCATTGAAAAAAAGACAAAAAAAATAGGGGATGGAGTAGTTTATCAGTGCCTGTCTCCCTTCTCAAGACTGTGCTATCAAGTTCCGATGAGAAGCAACAGAAGTATAAATGAAAGGCCATTAAATCATAAGGCAGCGGCAGCGTGCCACCTCCCTCCCATAAACTCCAGTCTGCTCCCTCTCCGCCACCCACCTGAAAGAATGAAAAAAGTGAGCGCAGGCAAAGAAACTTAGGCAAAGAAACAAGTTCTTGCCTAGAATGCTCACCCAGCTGCAGAGGCTTGGGGCTCAAGGACAGTTAGTTCCAATTAAGCCAGAAAAAATGCTCTTGCGCTCACACGGTGCCCAGAACACATGGGCTGGAAGGAGGGTCAGTCAATGGTGAATGCTCCTCCTCTTACTTGACTCACTGACAGCAGCCCACACAGCACAGGAGAGCCCTGCTAAGGGACATGGTTGCAAACTAGAGCCATTCCAACAAGTGTTCAGCTTTGCCAGCTGTTATTTATGTGGGTCGTACAGGAGTAAATAACTCAGCTATTTGAGAACTTTCAGTGTACAGGGTCCCAACCTGTGAGGCCTTGGACTGGCCTAGGGGTAAAGGGATGAACAGAGATGAGCTCCAGGCCCCTAAGAGGCACAGAAACCAGTAGGAAGCAAAGGTGTGTGTGTGGGGGGTGGGATTCTGGCAAGCGTGACTGCAGCGCAGGGAAAGTAGCCAAGTGAGGAAGGGTGGGGAGGTGACTCAGGCAGACTGTACCAGGCACTCAGCTGAGAGGGGAGCATGACCTGCTGAGTCTTGGCAAATGCCCACGGGACCTTCAGAACCTGCATTCAGAGCCAGGAGAGCCAGGTGAGAGGCTCTGAGGCAGCCATGTCACCCGATGCCTCACTCATCCATTTGGAGAGTCTCTCTGAGACTCCTTAATAATCCTGATACTTTTCATGCACTAAACATGAACCCAACCGATGTCCCCCAATATTACTGATTGATAATGATTCATTTGTCAAAAAAAAAGTACCACTCAAATAATTACCCCAGCCTGAGGTTTATAAAAATAATTTAATAAGACACTATAGCAGGAGCCATCAGAAAAATAGAGCACAGTATCCAATTTCTATGAGAAATGCCTTTTCCCCAGTTCTCTGACTCTCCGTGTTACTGCATTAGTAATTTCATGAGAAGGCATAGTGGACATTTGAGGATGTTTTATTGTAAGACTGAAACACCTAGTAGTCTTCATTAAAGCACTCCATGCGTCCACCGATTTAACAAGTATTTGCTGTGAGGAAGAAGATTTGACAAGCTGGACATGGAGGGAAAGACGCATACATTTGGCTTTGCCTTCATCATCCTGGCAGCCTCGGGGCTAAGACAAGTACTAAGGAAATATGAGTAATTCTATTACTCTGTGTCGTGTTAAGTGCTTCGAAGGAAAAAACAATCTCTCTAGGTCTCAATTTCTATGTTTATTTTAGAAAGGGTGGAAGGTGAAAAAAGCATAACTCCTGATTGACCTGAGGTCAGTAGCACGACATGTCATCAGGCTGTGCAGACAAAACTGAGCAAAGTGGAGGAAAGGTAGACAGGGAAGACTGCCGGACAGAGGGGCTGGGAGCTGCCGGGAACCCACGAGGCAGAGCTGGGGACATCTATTCAAGTCCTTGGAGGCCCAGGAAGGAATGGAGAAAGAGAAGAGAAATGTGTTCACCCATCCTGTTCAGCTTGCCTCTTCACCCTTTCCAAACACTCCTGCTTTGATGTGCATCCCAAAAACTCACCTGTTTGGACTATGTTCTTTATAATTCTTGTGTCTTATATTTCCACCATCCTCACTGACAGCAACAACAAAAGTCTAGAGAAATTTGGCTCTGATTTGTCTTTTCCAAATACCATTTTGGAGAAAAAGAATGATTCTGTCGTAGCATTTTTTTTCCCCCAAGAACTCATATGTGTTATGGTTAGTGGTTTGTCCTCGCTTCTATCTATAACCTTTTAAAGTAAATTGATGAAACATTTTTAAAATAAATCAATAAAGTTCTCCTTTGCAATTTAAGAGTTCTCCAGTTGCATTTGGATCATTTCACCTATTCACTCAACAGAACTAGTATTTTCTCAAGTGATGCACAATTAATTCCAGAGGAAACGGAGGCCCAACATTTCTAACTGACTCAGGAAGCTGAGGCCATGGTTTTTAGATTATTTGCTCAAAGCCACACGTTTCCTAAGCAACAAAGATAGGCAGGCTGTCAATAGCTCTTAGAATTGAAAAACTCATGCTGTATGACAGTGGTCCTCATTAGGAATAAATAAGGAAGCTGTTGTAAATAAATTTAAAAACTGCCATATGCATACACTCCTTATTACAAAGAATAATTATCATACATTGCGTTGAAATCTGACATAATTCCAGAGAGCCAAAGGAATTCAGACTCCAAAGTTAGGCTAAGCTACTGTACTTATTATTTCTGTATCTTTTCTCATTGATGTCATCAATTTCTTTAGGTGAAGAATTGTTTTATTAACCTCTGTGACCCATGATCAATAAATTGGTTGAATTAGAGAATTAAATACAATGAAAAAAAATGTTTATTATATTGAAGCTATAATAAAAATTGGGTAAGGCCTCATTCTTTTCTAATATTGAGAAAATGTGCCATTCATCTTCAGAAACTGATTCTGATAGCATTTTGAAGAAAAAGAGGATTTGGAGTTCAGATAGACCTGAATTTAAATCCACACAGAGCTCCTTACAAAACGTTTGTAAGTTTCTTAATATTCGTTAGTTACCCAGCCTCAATTTCTTTATTTTGCAAAGGAGAATAATAATCCCTTCCTGGAGCAAATGCAATATTTAATGTATTTAATCCAGCTAAATATATTTAATGTATTTATCCAGCTAAATGACAGGGAGTGCTTATATATATTCCCTGTCCTTAAGATGAAAACCCACAGTTCTTTCCAGGTTCGTTCTGCGGACAGCTACAACTTGTATTGCCGCTCAGTGTCTACAGTGAGATCTTAGACAAGTCACTGAGGTTTTCTGGGCCCCAGGTTCTCCTGCTGCATAAGAAGGAACAAAAAATGGAAAGAAGGAATGGGACTTTAGGTCCTCAGCCACCCCATTTAAGCTCCTGACATTCATTATTCTGTAATTGTGTTGCATACCTCTGTTTTCACAGGTGACATTTATTGGGCAGAGAAAGATGTTCCCAGTTTTAGTGTGTTTCGTGGATGTCCAAGTTCAATTTCATATCAGAAAGTATGACTCTGACAGAAACCAGACTACTTAGCTGATTTATGGAAGTTGGAAGTCATGGTGTTAATGGAGGTTGAGAAAATGGTATCAGAATGTTAGGGGGAAAAAAAAAAACAGGTGAAGTCAGGAGACAGACACAGAGCTGACACTTGAGCTAAGACAGCAAGCTTGGGAAAGGGGCGAAGCACTCAGGGTCAATACAGAGGGAGGCATTAAAGAAGAGAATGGTAAATAAAAGTTGGTATTCTGAAAAATGGGGAAACAGGTAAATGATTATTCAACTAGTCCTACCAGGAAGTGGACTTTTCTCAGGTTATCTTTCCTGTGGCACTTAATTTTCTCAACTTTTGGTAGGGCCTTTTTAGCAAAAACCTTAGGCTACAAAGGAAATGCAAGCCATAGAGCTGGGCAATATGTGGGGAATTCTATATTCCACCACTGCCTGAGCTCTTCATCTCAAATTTGAGTCATCAAATGAGATTTCCATTCCGTGACTGTATCCTGCAGAGCATTGTGTTTGATAGCCTCTGAAGAGAGCTATCCATTAGGGTGGGTGGTTAGGCAATGGAACAAACACACCCCAAACGTAATGACTTTACTTGATAACATTAAGTAAGCAATATTGATAACAGCCAAGATATGGAATCAACCTAAGTGTTCATCAACTAATAGATAAAAAAATATGGTACCTATAGATAATGGAAAACTGTTCAGCCATAAAATGAAGGAAATCAATTGTGACAATGTGAAAGGAACTGGAGATCATTACATTAAGTGAAAAAAAGCAGGATACAGAGAGACACATACTGCACGCTCTCACTCACATGTGGAATATCAACAATGATCTTATAGATGTCAAGAGTAGAATAATGCTTATCAGAGCCAGGGAGGATGGGGAGACAAGGGAAGTGTAGAAGTTGACAGACAGGTACTAAGTCACAGTTACATACATTCTGGTGTGCTATGGCACAACAGAGTGGCCCCAGATGGCAATAATGGATTACCCATTCAAAAATCAAGAAGAAAAGATATTGAATGTTTCACCATAAAGAAATAATAAGGGACTGGAGTCATAGCTCAGTGGTAGAGCACCTACCTAGTATGTGTGAGGAACAAGGTTCGATTCTCAGCACCACATATAAATAAAATAAAATGAAGGCCCATTGACAACTAAAAAGGAAAATTAAAAAAAGGAAATAATAAATGTTTGAGGAGATATATATGTTTAATTTTAATATTTCACAATATATATGTGTAAAACATCACAATGTATCACATTAATGTGTACAATCTTATGCTTTTATTTATGTCTATTTTTAATTGTTTTTTAAAGTTTTGTAAAAAGAATATTTGAGTCAAATCCATCTATACGGAGGAAATAGAGGTTTGGAGATAGAACAGACTTTTGCATAGAAAAATGTTGAAATATGTTTTAAAGTGCATTTTCACTATGCTATAGCCAAGGGAGAATAACATTTAACTGAAAAT